TGGGTAAAGAGACAACCTATTATTAATTAGGTGTTATTAGGTTTCATTTAATGAGACATATGTGATTCAGACCAATAAAAATAGTAAAAATATTTCAGATTATAACAGAAGAGGAAGAGAAGAAGAAGAAGACAACAAGAAGAAGGAAGAATTGAAAAGAAGGGAGAAAGGAGTTCGATAATCTCCTTTTTCTCCTCTCTAATCTTTTATCAATCTTACTAAGATTACATAAATTTCGAGTTTGTCCTTAAGTAGGCGTTCACCTCATCATCATACTTAGAAAACATAAAAAGAATTAAAGGTCCATAAAGAAAAGGCCCATTAAGACCAAATAACAAAAAAGAACTAATCAGTAAGATAGTAATAGGCTAGGGCCCATTTGGCCCAGTCTCTCTACACAAAGACTTTGATTATAACTAACATGCCTTTAGCCTGGTAACTTGATAATAAACTTGCTTATTATCTTTTTCCTTAAAAGTATATTCCCTATAAAATGATAATTTTAGACAAGCATATTTTATGAAGTTATTACAAGAAAACAGTGAGAAACATACATGGAACATTAGGGGTATCTGTTGTTATTTACTAATAAATGCACATAATCCATATATGCCCTAATAGGGTTGGATTTTGGAATAGATAAAACTTGTCCTGATCCTATTATAATTAGGACTCAATGGCTGTTTGGTATCACTTAAAATAAGTGGTCAGACCACACAACAAGTGGCAAATAAGTACTTGTTCCTATTTGGCAAAAAAATCCAAGAATAAATACTTATTTTGAAAATAAGTGCTTAAAAAATAAATTGCTCATGGTTGCTTATTTTAAGTACTTAAAAAATAAGTGCTTATTCAATTTTTTTGGATAATAGTGTCTCAAAAAATTTTGAAATACCAAGACTACCCCTATGAATAGAGGAAACCATATCATCTTATCCGTGCAGGTCACTTGCAATGATGGCAAGAAGCATTGCAGAGGGGAGAGAAATAACAATTTTTACGATTTAGATCTTAGGTATGGGTTTTTTCACATTTTTCCTTGTTCTTTCTACGTTTTCATGCCATTTCTTCTGGTTTTTGCTACTTCTTTCGTTTGAAACTAGATCTATGCCATTTTTGCACATATCTAAGTTTGGGATGACCTACACACATCATAATGTTGGGTAAGTTCGTTTCTAAACATTTTTTATAGTTTCATAGCTTTATACGAATCGTTTGGTATTATTTATTTATTTTTTGCATATTGTTGTAAATAATATGCCATTACTCGGACTTTTTCTTGCATAAATTGTGAGATATTTTCGCTATTGTTTCATAGCTTTCTGAAAAGTGTTGTTTGAAAGTGCTTTTTAAAAGCACTTTTGTGAAATTACTCTTTAGATGTACTTCCAAAAATCACTTCTTGAAAGTACATCTATGTAAAAGTACTTCTTGGAAGTAATTTCATAAACATAGTTTAAAAGCCCTTATGTGAAATTACTTTTTTTTGGAAGTACCTCTAGAAAATTGCATTTAATGAAACTAATTCCATGAAAATAATTTATAAAAGTGCTTTTGTAAAATGCTTTCTAAAAGTAGTTCTTGAAAGTAATTTTGTATATATATATATATATGTATATATGTCTTTATATATATATATATATATATATATATATATTTTAAAGTACTTCCATTAAATACTTTTTGGAAGTAATTTGTGATACTATTAGTATTATTGTCATTGTTGATATATTATTATTATTATTATTATTATTATTATTATTATTATTATTATTATTGTTGTTGTTGTTGTTGTTGTTGTTGTTGTTAATTATTATTATTATTTATTTTCATTATTCTTTTTTGTTAATAATGTGTGTGTTCAATGTGGGTCCATGTGTAGTTCCACATGCGTGACATGTGGACCCATGTATGTCTCGAGGAGTAGAGTAGTCATTTCTATGGACATAGTTTATTATAATATTCGAAAAGCATCACTTATATGCATTTGTAAAATAGGGGCTAAAAATGTCTTTTCCACGAAAATAAGTACTTAATGGTCAAGTGGCTTGCCAAATAGTCCAACCCCAATAAATACTTAAAATAAGCATAAGCCGTTTGGGAAAGGAGACACCAAACAACAATAAATACTTATTCAAATAAATACTTAAAAATAGGTACTGATGAAATATGTATTTATTTCTCAAACCACTTATTCACCAAACATATATAACCTCAAAATGCATACCCAAAACTTGGCTTATCATAATTTGGCTTAACATGCAAACTTTGATCTTGTGAAATAGGGTCATATGAGCTTAGGTCTATCGAGTTTGACCTAAACCATTGTTGTCATGCCTAGTCCATCTCATTGTCTATTTCAATGGGAGGATGATAAGATATATCCCAACACCTAAGTATAGTCTTAATGGGACCCATATGTTGATTCATGATCCTCCAAACACTAACATGTGCGGATACACACTAACATGCATATGTATGTATAGATGTATGACACAAGGTTCAAAATATCAATACGTATAGGGCCGTATCGGTTGATACGTATTGCAACAGAGGCTTCCCGATATGCGCCTATAGGGGGTGTTTTGGGGTCTCGATCGGTTTAGAGGGTGGACGGACCTTAAACCGGGCCATCTGGACCAAATTTGAAAAAAAAAACTAAAAAAAAAAAAACTATTGATACTGCCCAATATGCCACTACCGGCGTATTGGACTTATTGATATTTTGAACCTTGACATGACATATGTGCACACATACAAACACACATTTGTATATTCAAGTGCATTTATCTCCCACCAAAATGTGTATTCAAGTGCATTTATCATAATTGGTCCATTACTTAGATTATATTTTATGACATTTCACCAGCATAATTCATCAACACATGTATATAAAGGTGTATGCCAAATAGAGGGACCACCACATGATGGGCCATACATCAATGATCTTGCATGCAAAAAGAAGACCTGATAGGATGATGGCAATCATAAGACCTTATCTATCTTTCAAGCATGGCAAGAGGAAGGAAAAAAAGTTGAGTGGTGTTTAGAAGATAAAATGATGGATAAAATACATCATTCTTTGATGATGTAAAACCAATAATACTTTTGAAACTTACAATCAAAGAAAAGAATAAGCTGGATATGGAAAAATTATCTAGTGAGCTCAAGTTTTCATGCAATGGACCAATTATGATAGCATTGCTGATTGTTGCTGTTGATAATTTGAAGGTTTTGTGGTTTGGTGTTTCTTCATATAATAACTTTCACTTTTTTCCTTTGAAAACATCTCTCTCTCTCATTCTTTTTAGTATTGAAGGACAATATGATGGTTCCAAAAGGAGTGAAAGTTATAACAACCAATGTATAACATTCTTTTAAATCATTAGCAAAAAGGTTTAGTAATTATTCAAGGAGGAACAGTGCTGTGGATAAGGTAAGGTGTTATTCATCTCACCACATGAAAGTTCTAATTTATATACAATGTACTTGACTAGATCAACTGATTTGATTACCAATCACTGGTTTTGCCTCTTAACGGTCAAGATCGATGCTTTTCAATATACCATTAAATCAGATGGTCACCTTAGATTTGGTATATTACTTCAAATGGTATTAACAAATTTTTGACCAAGATTGCCCCTACAATTCAGATGCAGTGTCTTAATTTCTTTTCTTATGATCAGTACCCATATTATACATCACAGGTTCACCAATTAGATGAAAGAGAGAGAGGAATCCAAGGATCACAAAACTTGGCAAAGAGAAATTTAACAAATATAATGTATAAGGAGATAAAGTGGGAGAAATGAGAGAGAGATGGGGTGGGGGGAATCATTGAATCTAGAGTACTCGAGTAACTTCTTTTGCTAAAGGACATTGCTTTAAATTATTGAGAATTGTTTTTAAATTATTGAGTGTTTGAGACATTTTTTTGGTGATACACTAGAATCCCCCTTTGAATAGCATAAACCCCTCCAAAGAGGGTGGTTGTCCGAATTGAATCTGAGTCTACTGGAACAAACCAGCTAATGTACCAACTGAGGGGTCTTTGCTGGAATAAACCAGCTAAAGTATCAACTGAGCCACCCCTCTGTTAATTATTGAGACACATTGTGTGGATAAATAGTGAAGAGACACGATATATGTTTACTAATAGGGGAAAGATAAATAGAGATTAGCATATAAATTTTTTACTTCCAAATATAGTAAGCAGTTATACTATATTTTTAGCAACAATATCCATGATTCAGAGTCCTTGCAGACAATAATAGAAGTAGCAGCAGTAATGCTTGAAAGACATGTGATGGTTTTGTTTTATATTATGTAGATGTAGATAACTAAATATAGATACCTCTCTCAGGCTTATACCATCTCAATCTAACTATTCCTTGGGGAGCAGCTTTCAGACAGATAAGAACCCTTTACAGGACAATGGAATGAAGTAAAAAGCAAACAAACAACTCCAAAGAGATACTTGACAAGCAACCCTCTCCACTACTCTTCCTGTAGATGGGGATTTCTATCCTCCTTCCCCTTTTATTAAAATCTTGGGCATAATGATCATGTGAGAGCGATCACACTGAACAAGTTGTGTGAGCTCTACACATCACTGTAGTCTGGTTGGAAAGTTCAAGAGTAACAAATCTTCTGAATGTCTCAAATTTGAAGCCAAGCACGGACTGATACTCTGAAGTCTGAACAAGATAGGGATGACTGATGAGGGATCTCTCTGATAATTGATAATCCTTTTCTCTGAATATTTCTTTAACTTTTTAAAACTTGTGGCTAGCATTGATGAACCCATTAATGATTCAAACTGTTCATCCACTGGGATCGCTCCCGCAGGAGCATCACTCTCGAATTATTTGTTAGAGTGTGCAACTTTTGGGGAGCAAATAAGAATGGGTCCCACATCCTCCATGAGAGTATTTTGTTTCTCGTTTCTTGGCCCTTCTCCCTCCATTAAAATCTTCCCATTCTTGGACCCCCTACAGAGCAAAGAAAAAACAAAAAAGAAAAGATACAGAAAAAGAGAGGGTGGCAGGAGAGAGAAAAGTAAAAAAAAACCCATTTTTACCGGCAAAAGCCGGATGTGTATGTTTTTTTTGCTGGTTCAACTTATATATCTCTCGCATTCTGTTTTTTTTTGGACACCTTTAATTTCATGGGTTTCTCTAACAACCCTTCTGTAATTGATGCAAGCTGGCAATCCCTTTTAGTGCTGAGCAGATTCCTGCTTCAATCAATCTACAGATGGGCAAGGTGGGGAAACCTCGACTAGGTCTTGATAATCTTCAAAAGGGGCTTAGTCTTAATTCCCTTTCCACAAGCTCTGCTGTTGCTGATCGGTGAGTCCTCTTAGAATTGTCTACCAAGCTGGCGTTTTTCTTTGATTTTGAAACTTTTTCTTGCTCCATAAAACTATACTGCTTTCTGGGTTTTACTTTTTCTTTTTGTTTTCACTGTTTCTTGTTTCTGGGTCCTCTTTCATTTCATTCTCCGAGTACCCATTTTGAAATATTTTTGTTTCCTTGATTCTAAAGCGAGCTTCTATTTCTTGGTTCCTAGTCCATTTCCTTCAACAGTTTCTTTTAGAAGATCAATTTTGTCCCATTTTGACTACTGGTAATTATTCTCTTTTTGTATATTTGCCTGGTGCTTTATTTCATTTCTCTATGTGTGCTTGTAGATGCCCATCACGAGATTTTTTTTCCCTCAAAAATTCTCTTTTGATATCTGAGCGTTACTGAGTTTTCTGCGTGCAGTGGGAGTGAGTGACGTTCTCGATGTTTCTTCGTTTTGTAAAGTATTGTTCGCCTTTTCAGAATCCATTTCGGCTATTGTTTCTTTATCCTCGAACTAGTTTTGTTTTTCTTCTTTTTTTTTTTTAATGGGTGGAATAGATACCCTCTTTGTTGCTATGGGATTTTTTCTCACTTTTGAGCTCCAAGCTGATCATTGACGCCTTCATAATCTAGGTTCTATACTCTATATGTGCTCCCTTTATGCTTGTATTTCCCTTCCTGTTCCTTTCTATCAATTTCTTCATTTCGTTTTGTTGACTCTCATTTCTTTTAGTTATGTCCCTATATAAGGTGGTTTCAGCATTTCCTCTGAATCTTTTCTTTGTTTAATTTCCTCCCCTCTTTTTTCTTTATGTAGGGTTATTGGGGTCGAAAGAAGGATTGTGATTAATCTTGCTTCAAGTTGTTGCTTCGGTTTTCAGTCTGTACTTCACGCTGTTAGTCTGGATTTCTTTTAACCCATTTGAAGTGTTGGCATACGTTACCTCTTTTTCCCTCAATTGTTTCTGTTCCGAGAAGAAGGGAAAGTGGCATTTTGTCCTCCTCGCGTTTCCTGGCTTTTTGTTTCATAGCCCAGAAGCCTGTTTGGGTTTCTGCGATGAATATTACTTGGTGAAGTTTCTATGGTATTTCCCTCTGTTCTGTCTCTCTAACTGTGAAGTGCATTATATAATGTATGTTTGAAGAGGATGGGGCGTATTTTTTTTGGACTTCTTTATTTTCTTTCATGTTGGTTGAGCTGCTCATGCTTACTCTCTCTCTCTCTCTCTCTCTCTCTTTCTTATCTTACCTGTGATTTTTCCTTTAGGCTATGTTTGGTTTGAAGGAAAAGGTAGGGAAAGGAAGGGAAAGACAGGGAACCCTATACAAGGTTTGTAAAGGTTTCCCTATATTTCCCTTCCTTTCCCTATTTTTTCCTTCAAACCAAACACAGCCTTAGTATATGAATATTGTGGTGTTTTTTGAACCTTTCAGTGTCTTATTTCCGAAAACATGGAAATGGCATGTTGATTAATGTATTGCTTGTTTCTTTTGGTTTTATAGAAGCCTATTCTTTTTATTCTGTTTTTGCACTATTTTTTTTGAAGAGAATGTTATAGCATCTGATTGAGATTGAGTACTTTACTTTTTTCCACTCTTAAGTTCCACTTCTTCACTCTTAAGGTCTAGTTTTTGTTTTGAATTAAGTGGTTACTGGTTAATGAGTGTTTTGCTTTGGGGTTTGCTTTCTACTTTATCTATTTCTCTTTTTTGCTTTCTGTTTGAGGTGTTCAAGTTCACAGTTCACATAGAAGAATTTTTATTTGAAGAAGATTAATCTGTACTTTAATGTGGTTTGCTACTGTTTTGTTGTTGTTAAATAGTTTTGGTTGCTTATTTTTTTGTCTAATATTTACAATTTTCTGCAATTTTTGTTCTTGGTGTTTTTATGCCTTGAAATTCCATCCAGTATTTATCTTGGGGTTCCTTTGGGGAGCTCCAATAGGATGCTGGCACTATTTTTGCATGTGCACAGCTTTGATATTGGTGTTGTATGGACCTTTCATCCCTGTATATACTTGTTTTAGTGGCTTTTCTTTTCTTTTTTTTTTGTGTCTATGCCTTCGTTATACTCAAGTTAGGGTTTGTGGCTTAGTAGTTGGCTTTTTCACATGTATGGGCTTGTGTATGTTTTGTTTGGGTTTGGGACCCTTCTCTCTCTCTCTCTCTGAAAAGGTAAAGTATTGTATTAAATTGTAAACAAAGGTATAAAGCAAATATACCCCAAAGGGACTGTACAATGTTAAAAAAGCAAATAAAACATCCCTGTGCTTTGGCAATCACAAAAGAAGAGGAATGAAAAGTCAATGTAGTGCCCTTGGAGAACAGAGACGCAATGACAGCAGAACTAGTTAGTTTACTGCAAGGGTTAAGACTTGCGAAACAACTGGGCTTGCACAACCTAGAGGTGGAAGGGGATTCCCAAGTAGTCATCCCTTGGACCAGAAATAGCTCCCAGATTCCTTGGGTATTCAGGCATAAATTCAGGGAGGTTGTAAGCCTAACAAGGGAACTAAATGCTTCCTTTAAGTGGGTGAGAAGAACAGCAAATGGAATGGTAGATTCTCTGGCCAAACAAGGGGCTGTGAGAAGGCAAATGTTTTGGGAAAATCTGTAATCTTTGTTGATTTGGGGTGGAAATCACACCCCAGACCTTGTAATTCCTAATCTTTCATTAATAAAATTCCTTTTCTGCTGATCAAAGAAAAAAAAAAGCCAATGTAGTGCCTACTTTCTATGCCAAAATTTATTCACTTGAGCTTGGATGCCTTTCCTCTATTTTTTTTTGATAGATTAGATGCCTTTCCTCTATTTGATTTATATCATTGATACATGCCTTCCTAAAGATGCCTTTAGGCTGTTGTCAAGTAGGTTACTTTTGTAGTCTAAATATAATTGTGGTTGTCTTTGTTTATTTTTCTGTTTCCATCTATAATCATTAATCTTTGAGTTTGGATATATAATAAGGGATTATTGAATTAATTCTTCATAGGCTAACTGAAGTATGGAGAGGACCCGGCTGGATTTAAGAGTCCATCACTCAGGATCAACACAGTCAGAGGAATCAGCTTTGGATCTGGAAATGAATTACAGCAGTCACCCTAATCTTCCTTTATTAAGTCCACCAACACTTCAAGCATATGCATCAGGTGGTCAGCACTCTGAGAGCAATGCTGCCTACTTCTCGTGGCCTACTTCTAGTAGATTGAATGGTGCTGCTGAAGATCGAGCTAATTACTTTGCAAACCTTCAGAAAGGGGTTCTACCTGAAACTCTAGATCGTCTTCCAACGGGACAACAGGCAACCACCTTACTTGAGCTCATGACTATAAGGGCATTCCACAGCAAGATCTTACGCCGTTATAGCCTTGGAACAGCAATCGGGTATCGTATTCGACGGGGTGTATTGACAGATAGGCCAGCTATTCTTGTATTTGTTGCACGGAAGGTTCACAGACAGTGGCTGAGTCACACTCAGTGCCTGCCTTCTGCACTTGAGGTGAGAAAGTGAGATATTGTGTTATGGATTTACACTACTCCTATAAGTTAATTATGTTGATGAGTTGATCTTAGCTGTGGCATGCGATTGTACTTATAATTGGCAAATAGCAACAGGATTTAATTGGAGTACCATGTCTTTGAAATGTTAATTGACCATAGAGAAGTACAGATGAGTCTAGGAGATCTGTATTTTCTGTTTAACCCTTGATTTAGCTTTTATTTTCCTCGGAAGTTTATGTTGCTTACTCTCTGAGTAGGGACCTGGAGGTGTATGGTGTGATGTGGATGTTGTAGAATTTTCATATTATGGTGCTCCTGCTCCAACTCCTAAAGAACAGTTATACTCTGAGCTTGTGGATGGCTTACGTGGAAGTGATCCATGCATTGGTTCTGGTTCTCAGGTATCATGTTCTTCTGTTTAGCAACCTTCCTGATTGTATGCTGGTTGGATGATTGGAAAAATTGCTGGTTTACGTGATTAGAGGACTTTTTTTTTCTGTTCTTATTAAAAAATAAAAAGGTAGACTTTATTTCCGTGGATGTCTGTTAGGAGCTGAGCTTATACTGCTTTCTCTGACCTTTTGTTTTCCTTACTTGCTGCAACTTGGGTGGGCTAACCTGAACTTTGCATGGGTTGGGCTTGTGTGCCAAAATTCTGGCTTGACCCCAATATGGGTAGGCTTGGGTAGCCTGAAACCAGACTAAGCTTGGCCTAATCCAATGTGAGGTTGCCTGATCTTCTACCTACAACATATATATGTAAATTGTATATTTATGTTATTGCTATATATTTACACTATTATGTACAGTCTGGAGAGTTGTTTTTGATTACAGCACTAAGCCACTACCCACTAATCTGAATTGATTTTCTGCAATAAGAATAAGAATCAAAGAAAAGAATAAAACAAGAGAAATAGATAGAAGGAAGAAAAGAGAGAGAAAGAATGAAGAAGAAAGCAAACTCCAGATTGTCTTGATAAAAAAAAAAGCACTCCAGATTGTGGGAACAGATCTGTCCCCTTTTCTCTTTCTATTAACTGATATAATTAATGATGAAATTACATCAGTGCTCCCAATAGGGTGGCCAATAAAACTAATATGAATCTGGCCCAAGGACCTAGCAATAAAAATAGAAAAAGTCTCAATACGAACACTAATAAGAAATAATTAGCAAATGAATGAAGCCATAAAACAGGCCCAATAAAGAAAAAATGCTGCCTGACCATTATATCTAAACACTCTCCCTCAAGCTTGAGTAGATGCCCATCATTCCCAGCTTGCCCAGTGTATTCTGTAGCTTCAGAGCTGGTATGCCCTTAGTAAACACATTGGTCAACTGCTGATCAGTTTTCACATAAGGGAGACATATCTCTCCTGACAGAACTCACTCATGAGCAAAATGATGATCCACCTCTATGTGCTTGGTGCGACCATGCTGTATGGGATTGCGAGTAATGTTAATGGCTGCTTGATTATCATAGTATAGTACAAGAAGGACATACCAATCAATCCCCAACTCCTCAAGTAATGAACGTAGTCATAAAGCCTTTGAAAGTCCATGGGCCATTGCCCTATACTCTACAAGCAACTATAGACTACTTTTTTGCTATTTCAAGAGAAGAAGGTCTATTATTTAGAGATCCAGCCCAATCTGCATCAGTAAACAGTTCCAAATTCATTGTATCGTGTTTAGAATATAGGATACCTCTATTAGGACAACCTTTCAAGTAAGCAAGAATCAATTGCAAGATGAGTAGTACAAGAGCATGTGTATATTGGCCAACTACACTCAAAGATTAATCTGGCTGATTCATACAGGAATAGAGTAGCTGCCAAACCAATCTCTAATATGTTCCATGATCCTCAAGAAGCTCCCCCTCAGCAATGTTTAAAATGTTAATGTCAGGAGAAATATCAGTCATCCAAATATTGGAAACATGTTGGCAATGTCATATGGAAATATTGTAAACTTATACATGGTGGAAGCATTGTCAAAATATGCTGTTATTGGTAAAAAAAATTGTGAAATATGAAAAGATATGGAATGCTATTTTATGTAATGACTAGTTAAGATACATGCTATGCATGTGTGCAAGTAAAAATTTAAACATATATGATTTATGGTATTTGGATTTAATTTTTATGAATTGCACCAAAACCAAGGCAAGTATCCACTTTATATAGTATTGATAGAAGATGAATAGGTAGACCCTTTTAAATTATTATTTGTTCCAAATCATCAAACTACATGATAGAGAGAGTTCAAGCAAAATTTAAACTCATAGAAAGTGCAAATGATTGAAGTGGCAATCATGTTCATTAGGTGGGCAATAATTTTGCTAATCCACATATCTAATATATTGTTGCCAACCTACGTTATAATACTATCTCTTGTACTCCACTAGGCTATAATCGGATCCGTATATTTAAACCTGAACTTCAATCTGATTAATAAAATACCCCATCTGAATTCGATCTGAAGGTCAATTGGATGCACAGGAAGTATATATGAATTCAATTCGATTGGATCTATTGGATTTCAGATCTCGTCTGAGTTTAATGGGCCTGCACTTATCTAATGAGGTTCACAAATTACTTTTGCAGAATACCATTTCCTATAAAAAAAAAATACTTTTGCAGAATAACCTCATCGATAGACAAAAGGTTCAACAAGTAAAAGGAATCCATTGACAAAAAATTAGGCTAGAGCTTCTAACAGAAGAAATAAAAGATTAGGGAAGAAGAAGCAACCAGTAGGGAATCAGGGGAATCATCCAAACCCCTCAAGTTAATGGTCTTCTAGGAGATCCTAGGGCAAGAGGTAATCACTATCAGGACCAATCTCTTGCCTTTCCTTCCACCATTAAATAAGAAATCAATGAACAAGAAGTTAGCAGCAACAGGCGAACAGCCAATGTCTAACGCTTAGGGAAGAAAAAGACAAGAAGCAGCTGGCGGCAATAGGTTTGTTTGGACAAACATCAATTCCCTTCAATTTCATGAAAGCTAACAATACATAGACATTCATCAAACATTATTACATGATTGAAATTGAAAGGACTAACAAAAGAAAAAAGTGCATATACAACAAGAAGGGAATTGAGGCAGAAATATAGAACAATCTTAGGCCTACTTCACACCCTCTTGCTGTAAATCCTGCATTCAAGCTGGATGTCCTTAGGCATAATGGTTCTCCTGGCATGAATGACACAGAGATTGATATACTCAGAGAAACCACCAAGTACACCGCTGTGGCTTCCTTGAGATCAGCCATTGCAGTACTCTGGAAATGGAGATTAATCTTGAAATCTTGAACTATTTCATAGATGAGATGCTAGAGGGCTTTCAAATCAAGAGCTCTGTGCTCTTTTGATACGTCTTGGTCTCATGTAGCACCACGGTTAGGCTTAAACATGTGGCTTCTTCACTTCTCTGGTTGTTGGTGTTAACTTCCAAGCTTCCTTCTGATAAAAAAAAAACTTCCAAGCTGTCTTCTTTGCCAGCTGCTTCCAGGGAGGGTTTGATGAGCACATTTTTGGGTACCGTTGACAGCCATATAATCCACATAGCACCAATAACATTCACTGGGGGATATGTTGATTCTAGTAATACTTTTGTGTTAGTACCCTCAGAAATGGAAATATGCTGTGTTGTTGTGGAAATATTAGGAAATTTGTGGAGATTTTAAACCATTCCCCTTTTATCCTGTAATTCGGGTCAATGAGAGATTTTACATGTTTTACTCCTTATTTCCCTCTATCCCTAAGAAGAACAAGAACATACATCCATTGAGAGATATAAATAGATTATACCTCAATTCCCAAAAATACCTCAGTTCACTGAGATCTTTAATCTCAAATTTTGTCCTTAAGAATTTCTTCAAATCAATACTCTTTTGTACATCATTAACAATAAGCACAACGCTATCTACAAAAACACGAGTATACTAATATGCTCACCCCTTCTCTTCACAAATAATGTGCGATTAGTTTGAGCTTGTATATATCCCATCTTCAGTCATCATCATCATCATCATCATCATCATCATCATCATCATCATCACCACCACCACCACCACCACCACCATCTATGCATTGTTCCAATTTACAAGTTAAAGGGGCTAGAAAAGCTTTGGGTAGACCAAAAAAGACTTGGGTGGAAATAATAAGAAATGATTTGAGTGTGTGTCCATAATTTAAGAATGGATATGGCACTGAACAGAATGGACTGGCAAAACAGGATCCATGTAGCTGATCCCATATAGTTGGAACCAAGGACCAAAATATCGATGTCGGGTATCACATCAGACAACTTGGGTACATATATGAATACAGATACGCTTTAGAAACACATGGATACACTAGAAATACATACAAATTCCATAAATACATCAATAACACTAAATTTGAGGTCAAAATAACAAAAAATAAGGTATAAATACGTAGGGAATGTATATTTTAATGGTAAATATGAAGAAATATATTACAATTAATATAGTGGGATGTATAGATATCATACAGTTTTGTTGATAATCCATTAATTAAGAGTCCAAGAATCATATTGAATAAAATTTTACAAACTAATACATGCACAAAGCCATTATTATGCTATATTCTATTTAAGCCCAATACACAAAACCACATTTTAATTACTATATAAATTATTTTCTATTTTACTATTTTTACCTTTCTACATTAACAACAAAGTCAACTAAATATTAAAATTTCAATTTGTAAGTAATATTTTTTATTGTTGTAAACAATAGATAAGATTGTATCATCAACAAACCATAGATGAGATATTGGTACCCTATCCCTACCCACCCTCCAATCCCTAACCAAATTTCTAGAATCTGTTCTATCTATCAATCTACCCAAAACTACCGCAATTAGAGTAAAAAGGAAAGGAGAAAGGGGATCCCCTTGCCTTATCCCTCTAATTGCAGGAAAGTGATCAACCACTGCCCCATTCACCAAAATAGAATAATGACATGTCACAATACAATCTTGTATCCACTTGCACCACCTCTCCCCAAAACCAAAAGTTTCCAACACACAACACCTATATTAAAAGAAACCAATCCACCAAATCATATGCTTTCTCCAAATCCAGCTTGCACACCAAGCCTTTTCTCCTAATTCTTCTCAAGTCCTCTGCACTTTTATTTGCAATAAGAATATGATCAATTATTTGTCTATTCATCACAAAGACACCTTGGTTATGGGAAATATTTTGAGGCAACACAATTTATTTCTCTGAGATAGCATATTGACAATTATTTTGTAAAGATTGTTTACTAAACTGATAGGTCTGAATTCCTTTGTGTGAAACTGTGAATTACATCATATTTCTTTAGTACCAAAGCTAAAAAAGTGGAGTTCAGCCCCAGGTTAATCACCCC